CTATCTATGCTTACAGTATCCTGTACTTTTTCTTCATATCACACACTAAATGGAAATTAAATAATAATTTATAGAATTATATATTTAAAGCTTATCTCCTCACCTACACCAAAAGCTCACTGAGGGCAAGGAAGTGTCCATATCTGTTTAATCTCTAGGACCCAGAAGGTGGTTAATATGTGTTTGATGAATTTAACACAAGTATCTCAATTTCCTCATTTATATATGGAGTTAAAAATTCTTGTTCTATCTGCATCTTGGTTTTGTGATGAATTTAACACAAGTATCTCAATTTCCTCATTTATATATGGAGTTAAAAATTCTTGTTCTATCTGCATCTTGGTTTTGTTTCTGCGGAGCAGGTGAACCAACATGTATATATAGAAAGTGCTTAGGACAGCATAAAGTACTTTACACATAAAATGTTGTATATGCACATGAATGCATATATTTATCTTTCTATGGGTTCAGATTCTGTGTCATGAAATGGGCAATTGATAAAAGATCTGTAAATGTAAACATTTACCTGTGCATATATATATAATTGGTGTCTCCTCTTATAGCTGTACAGAAGGTAAGAATGGGGTTTGATAGACTGTGGCATCCTCATGGATCAACCCTAGAACCTTCAGGTTATAAAAACAGGCTGTTCTTTTCTTTTCTTTTTTTTTTTTTTGAGACAGAGTCTCACTCTGTTGCCCAGGCTACAGTGAGTGCCGTGGCATCAGCCTAGCTCACAGCAACCTCAAACTCCTGCCCTCAAGCAATCCTTCTGCCTCAGCCTCCAGAGTAGCTGGGACTACAGGCATGCGCCACCATGCCCGGCTAATTTTTTCTATATATATTAGTTGGCCACTTAATTTCTTTCTATTTATAGTAGAGACAGGGTCTTGCTCGTGCTCAGGCTGGTTTTGAATGCCTGACCTCGAGCAATCTACCCGCTTTGGCCTCCCAGAGTGCTAGGATTACAGGTGTGAACCACCGCGCCCGGCCCAGGCTGTTCTTTTGTCTATTGAAAATCCATCTGGAACAAGATACCCTCTATGTGAGGACTATATCAAAGTACACACAAAAATATACTACATATGATAAAATCTTAATGAAATATTTACTCTTTAGAAGTAAATCAGATTTTTTAAAGACCATTTTAAAAATCACATGGCACCTACAAATAACCACTGATGCTCGTACTTCCTTAGGTAAAATGGAAAAGTAGCAGCAGGATATAGGATTCTTACCCCTGAATATAACATAATGAGTAAGCAGGACTAATAGATAAGAAAGACACCCATAATTACAAACCCAAAATAGCTATAGCTAACTGCCCTTTGCACCATAGGCATAGCCTTCATGTATTAATTAATTTAATCTTTAGAGTATCTTCATGAAGTATGTTAGTTTTTAAGGGTGAGGAAACCTTAGGGGTCCTCAAACTTTTTAAACAAGGGGCCAGTTCACTGTCCCTCAGACTGTTGGAAAGTGCGCACTGTGGGCCCGGGACAAGTTGGGTACTAAGCAGGACAGGCAGCGGCGGCAAAAACACCCGGAGGACCGGATAAATGTGCAGCCCCGTCGTTTGAGGTTTGAGGACACCTGCCTTAGAAGATAATATCTCTTCTTAAGGCTTTGGAACTTGTGAGGGGCAGTGTGAGGCTCTGAACTCGGGCATTCTGTTATCAGAACCCTTCCCCCTCACACCACAGGTGTAATCATTTGCTTCCTTGTCTGTTTTTCCACTGGTCAGTGTTTTGTCTTTTTTTTTTTTTTTTGTAAACTAGCACAGGGCTTAGGACATGGTGGGCATTCAGTGAATTTAAGAAAAGAAAAAAAAATAGTTCAAATAGAATGAGAAAATCAATCTATAGTATGTGAATTAAGATAAGACACCAGGGGACATACATTAGAAAGGACTGTCATTCCACACAGAGAATAAATGTAAAAATACTCAGACACAGAAAAACATAAGTGAAAAATAGAAACTGACAAGAAGTGTCCTAGTGAAAGTAGAGTATCTGACCTAGGCTTTAACTGGAGGTAAAGGAACTGAAGAGAGAAGACGAACAACAAGGATAACAATTTGGTAAAGCAAATAGTGAGTTTAAAGTTAATGTAAGATAAATGGTAACTCATTTTCCTTCTGAACAGGGAGAGGCACTCAAAATAATATTTTAGGGATATTATCTTGAATACCATACATGGATAAAACTAGAAAAGATGGAATAGGATGGTAACTGGGAAACTGTTGCTATAGGCCATGGGTAACTTGATAGAAGCCTGGAATAGAGATGGCATGGCTCTGAAAAAGACTGAGACGTGCCCACTGAGTTGACATAGGCAATTCAAAATTGATAGCAACAACACTACGTTCTTCTCTAAGGACAGTTTGTGGCTTTAATTCTTTGTACAGAGAGTCCTCAACATACAATGATTCAACTGTGGTCGATTCTTATTAGCACTTAGAGCAGGCAGCAGCCCAGTAGATTTATATGAGCCAGTTTACAGCCTGATGTTCCCATATAAAGCTTCCCCAGATTCCCAATCTGACTTTGATTCTATTGAGGTAGTTGAGGCTGGCACAACTACAACCTTCCAACAATGTCTTTTTAACTCTTAACTAATTTTTTAGCTCTTAACTATTTTAGCTCTTAATTATTCATACTGGTATGCTCTGCATAATGATGCTTCAGTCAACAATGGACTGTGTAACAGTGGTCCCATACAATTATAATGGAGCTGAAAAATTCCTATCACCTAGTGACATCACAGCTGTCATAATATCATAGAGTAATGCATTACACATGTGTTTGTCATGATGCTGGTGTAAACAAATCTACTGCACTGCCAGTCTTATAAACGTATAGCACATACAGTTATGTATGGTACATAAGACTTGATAATGATATTAAATGACTATGTTACTAGATTACATATTTACTATACTGTATTTTTTACTGGTATTTTAGAATGTACTCCTCCTTACAAAAACAAAAAACCAAGTTATCTATAAAACAGTCTTAGGCAGGTCTTTCAGGAGATATGCCAGACGGCAGCATTGTTATGATAGGAGATGACAGCTCCATGTGTTTTATTGCCCCTGAAGACCTTTCAGCAGGACAAGATGTTGAGGTGGAAGACAATGATATTGATGATCCTGACCCTGTGTAGGTCTAGGCTAATGTGTGTGTTTGTGTCTTAGTTTTTAACAAAAAAATTTAAAAAGTAAAAAAGATTAAAAATTTTAAAAATAGAAAAAAACTGGCCGGGCGCTGTGGCTCACGCCTGTAATCCTAGCTCTTGGGAGGCCGAGGCGGGCGGATTGCTCAAGGTCAGGAGTTCAAAACCAGCCTGAGCAAGAGTGAGACCCCGTCTCTACTATAAATAGAAAGAAATTAATTGGCCAACTGATATATATATAAAAAATTAGCCGGGCATGGTGGCGCATGCCTGTAGTCCCAGCTACCCGGGAGGCTGAGGCAGAAGGATCACTCGAGCCCAGGAGTTTGAGGTTGCTGTGAGCTAGGCTGACGCCACGGCACTCACTCTAGCCTGGGCAACAAAGCGAGACTCTGTCAAAAAAAAAAAAAAAAAAAACTTATAGGATAAGGTATAAAGAAAATATTTTTGTGCAGCTATACAATGTGTTTGTGTTTTAAACTGTCATTACAAAAGAACCAAAAAGTTAAAAAAAAGATTATAAAATAAAAAAGTTACAGTAAATTAAGGTTAATTTATTATTGGAGAAAAATACATTTTTATAAATGCAGTGTAGCCTGAGAGCTGTATTTATAAAGTCTACAGTAGTGTACAGTAAGGTTTAGGCCTTCACACTCACTCGTACCCAGAGCAACTCTCAGTCTTACAAACTCTATTTATGGTAAGTTCCCTATACAGATGTACTGTTTTAAAAAATCTTTTATACCATGTTTTTACTGTAGTATGTTTAGATATACAAATACTTACCATTGTGTTACAATTGCCGACAGTATTCAGCACAGCAACGCGCTGTACAGGTTTATAGCCTAGGAGCAACAGTCTATATAGCCTATGTGTGTAATAGGCTATATCACCCAGGTTTGTGTAAGTATGCTCTACAATGTGTGCATGACAAAATCGCCTAATGATACATTTTTTGGAACATATCCCCATTATTTAACAATGCATGACTGTATAACACTTATCCCTCCAGAAATGTAGTCAATATATAATCATATAACTCAGGATTTTTCCTTAAAATAATTAACAGAAAATAAAAAGTGTTTTAGAAATAGCTAGACAAAAATATAATAATCTAGGGAAGTAGGCCTCTGCCAAAAATAGAACCAAAAGTAGCAGGATAGTATAAAGATTTGCTTGTAGCCACTCTGTTTCCTCATATTATGAAAATGCTAAAGGAATGTGCTAGGAGTATAGGGAGAATATGGGCTTGGGGTAGGTGGCACCATGACTATAAAGACAGCCTAGAAAGAGGTACTGGTGATCAAACTGGACGTAGGAAAGGGCAGGGAAGAGACAAAGAATGAAGAGTTTCTGCTTTTGAAATATGAACTATGTAAAATCAAGTGACTATGCTTGAGAACTTCTGGAGTAATGCAGATCTGTAGCTTCTCATGCTAACTGTTTGGCCAAGGCAGTGTGGGTAAGACAACACATATTTGAATGGCCGCACTGCTCTGCCTGCCTTACCTACTGCCTTCCACTACCTGGAACTTAGTTCACTCTCCTGGTGTCCTGTGGAAACCACGCTGGGACTGGAGTGATCCAGGCACTTCAAGTGGGGCTTAGAAAAGGGCATAAACAGAATAAACAATACATACTCAACATGACAGCTTTCAGTAGTTATCTCTCAAGAATAATAACCATTTCAACAAAGTGTTATTAGATTGGCTAATAAAAATATCTCTCCTTATAAAACAGAGTGATGCCAAGAAGATAAGAACTACATCTTAACAGGGCATTAATTTGGACAAACCTAATAAAAAAGTATATTTCTAACATCCTACCTCCATGAAGTATTTGTTCCAATCCCAAATTGAACAGCACTCCCACCAAGGTAGACTGGACTGCAACTAGACGTGTTCGACAGATGGAGAAAAATTAAATTACAAGAAAAAAAGAATTGTGAGAAGTTAATTTGGCCTTGTTAAAAACATTAGCATTGTTGACTCTATGCCCTTGTAATCAAACTATATATTTTCCATAGCAAGCTAACTATTTCAAAGAACAGATACTTATTCCAGGATAACTACTTTATTGGATATAACCTGTACATTCATGAACACTCAAGGAGTTAAAATGAGTCACAAAAAAAAAGTGTTTGCCAAATAATGTAAGGGACAAAGTAAACACCCAAGAATATAACAGAACATTAATTTTGAGAAACTGTTCACACTGTTTTTTTTACATGGGAGAAAATTATTTACAATAGCAATAATCTCCCATTTAATTTCCTTTACACTACGGGGTCACAGACCACAAGAACACTGAAGATAATTGCTATTGGTCTTTCTCCTGAAGGCCAACCACTGCTTTGTTGTTCAATGTCACCGTTGTTTAAATGGTAACAAAATCTACTAGACTATGCTCAAAGTGTTTGCTCACTAGTGTGTATAATCCATCAAAGCAATCTCAACTTACCTTTTACCAGAGCCTTGAATGGAAGCTTTGACAGATGTGTTACCTGAAGATTTAGATTTTAATTTCTGTTAAAAAAACAAAACAATAAAAGACCAATGGAAACTTAGACAACTGTAACATGAAAACTAATATTCTTTATTTTATAACAAGAATATTTCCTAAATGACTTAAATAAAAATTTTGGTGGCATCATTTTTAAGTTTCTGAAATAAAAACAATGATCAAAACCTTTTAAAGGCAAAGGGGAAGTAGACCTCTCTTAGGAATTCGCAAATTACTCTAACTTTTAGGCTAGGAAATTGATATACTGCCATTATTAGCATGCTAAGATTTAGAGTCACTTTATAACTCTTCAGTTAATACTAGAGTTCAGTGATTTAATATGAAGGACCTGCTATTTAAAACTTCATCCTAGAAAAATTCAACTGAGGAGGAAAAAACCTCAGACTCATTTTTAAAGGCTATGAATGGTACTCCTATGAATTAAAATTAACCTAACCAAACTCCTGTGTAACTTCAGAAATATTACTTTTGATCAAATGGAACAGTTTTAACCAATAGATGTTCAAGGAAAATGCAAAGCTACCTAGTCACAATCATACAGTAGTTCCTATATGGTTACATAACATCATGATCATTAGTAAGCTTTTATTAAGTGTTAACCGGTATGTGGTACCAAACAACATAAACCAACCACATACTAGGACCACCGCCAAGGAGAGGAAGTGAGATGGAGAAAAGGCAATTTAACCTATGCACAGACATGCCTTCACTTTACCTAGTGAGTGAGGAAATTTAATAGAGACAAAAATATTTCATTTACTATTTCTCTTAACTCTTTTATTTGATATCAAGCAGAACTGGAAGAATTTTTGGTATATGTATGAAAAGTAATAATACATATGAGTCTCTTTTTGTTTTGGTGAGTATGTTTCATATACCATCTAGACTCTTGTTTATGACTCTAAGCTGGCACACTGTGACATTTGTTGTTGGTTCCTGGGCTTTCTTGTATGGGTCCGAGAGCAGTTCAGAAACGCAACAGAATGGTAGGGCTGAGGGTAGGGTGGGGAAGTACTTTTAGGGTATAATGTAGCTTATAAGGACAATGTGGGCATCTGTTCATAGACACTTCTTTTTCTCATCCAATAAATTTTTTACACAGATCTGCTTTCTCCCTTGAAGATTGGAAAACTGGATATAATAAATAACTAAAAAAGGAAAACATACAGAAGTTCATAAAAGTTTATTTTGTCATGACTGTAAGGGCTACTTTTATCTCAAATTAGTGTATTTTAAAGCCAAACTAGGTAAGTATTTATCTTCTCCTTCTAAAACACCTTGAACAAGAGAGACAGTACCTCCTATATAGATACAGTACTTAATGAATTGCTCAGATGATTAATGAAGAGCAACAAAAACATCACGTAGTTTTTTTTTTCCCTACTATTGATTAGCATTACTAATCAGCACTACTATTCAGCACTTACGATATATTCTGTTTTCAGTGTACAGTTGACCCTGAACAACACTGTTCTGAACTATGTGGGTCACTTGTGCATGGATTTTTTTCCCAACAAAATAAGGATTAAAAATACAGTTTTTGATGGATGTGAAGCCTGTGTATATAGAGGGACTTGACTATGCTCAGATTTTGCATTTACGGAGGTCCTACAACCAATCCCCCATGTCTACTGAAGGATGATTGCATTTATTATCGTTGTTGTGTTGACATGAATCAACTGGGTATTAGCTTATTAGTTAACCTCAGATAAATTGAAAATGTTAAATTTAGAGAAATTCAGATCTTAAAATCTAAGTCATTTGATTTTTTAGTCTGACTGACAAAAATATAAGTGGCCCCTACCCATATCCTTGCCATCACCATTACCTAGTGATTTTTAGTCCACTGTTTCCTACTTCTCCCCCACCCCATACCCGACTTTCCTACTTTTTTATAAAAAGCTCTGGTAATAGAGTTTTTCTTTGCTGTCTTTATAAATCAGACTTCTAGTTGGTCTCTCTTTTTTTAAAATCTGACAAATATGTTTCACATGCACCATACTGATATATACTGCTGGTATGAAAAATAGAAATGATAAAGTCACTTTAGATAACAGTTTGGTAATGGGTAAAAATGTTGAAGATGAGCACATCTTATAACCTAGAAATTCCTCTTCTAGGTTTATACATTCTAAAGAAACTCTTGCACATGGGTAAAAGACTACATGAAAAAATATCTGATGAAGCATTATTTGTAATAATAAACAAGTGGGCACTACTGCACATGGTTAAAATTATTTATGGTAATAAATAAATATATATAATATATATTATATATACATATATATTATTTATGGTAATAAATAAATATATTACATATATTATGGTAATATATATGTAATAAAAGTATAAAAGTATGGGTGGGAAAGATAAGTGGTTACTTTGGGGAGGGAAGGCAGTAGAGCAGGATTTGGAGAGTCTGAAACTATATTTCTAATTTGTATTTCTTTAAAAAAAAGTCCAGAGAAGCAAATATGGTGACATTTTAAGATATGTTTAGTATGGGTGGCTGTTATGTTCAGCATATAGGTGGCTGTTGTATTATTTTATGAACTTTTTATAAAGTTAAAATAGATAAACATTAAAAAAATACTAACAATTTAGTCATTGGTTCATGGCATAACAGCAATGACACTGTATCTGAGATGCTAAGCACATTCACAATAAGAAAGTTGTTTGTTTTTGACCTCTTAGAAAAGTGTTCTTAGAGACTACAAATAAACATAAGTGACCTACTTGATCTGACTTTTACAATAACAGTTTTTTGATTTTTTATTCTTGCTGAGAATTGAATAGGGAAACACATACTGAGCAGTATTTCACTGATTCCACAACAGTTTAAGTGAAATAATTTCTTTTAAGTAATTGTATTTCTCAGAATTCAAAGGATTACAGATAGCTACTTATGCCTGAAGCTTTCAGACTATTCGCAACACATCTTAAAATAATGAAAGAATAACTGAACGTTTATAACACTTGACTTACAAAGGGTTTTTTGTCAAAGTTGGGCTCTTCAAATATTTCATTAATAAGTCTGTCAAGATCATCTTCTTTTTTAAATGTTTCTGTTGATCTGAAAAGAAAAAACACAAAAACTCCCACCTGAAGCTTAAGAGCAAATGAAGTCAATATCAGAAGAATTTTATTTAAAGACCATTATTAGAGTTGATGACAGAGGGATAAATGTGATGTTAATTACTTTTGTTATGGACATAGCCTAAGTTTGCTGAGACAAAGATACAGTTTATCAGGTACAAATTCATATATGCACGTTACTATTACATAAATAAGACATTCAAAGCTATACATTACATTCAAGAGAAAGCTGGGCATGTACTGTTCTAAATTATATCAGGCACTTATTTAGGGCATACAAAAAATGTATAAGAAAAATTTGATATTATAAATAAAGATAATTTTAACCAGTCTTTCTAATTTTTTTCCCTAAGGATTCCAGTGTAAGTCAAATAACCATATCTTTTTACTAAAAGAGCCAAAGGTCATGTAATCAAATGACTGCTCCCCCTCAAGTGCTATTTGTTATATCTCAACTACCTCTTTACCTTCTGCAGGCAAAGCCATTACTGGATTATTAATACAAACTGTTACTGCACAGAACTTTCTATTTAATAGCTTACCTTTACTGAATACTTACTAAATGCCAGGGCTGCACTGTCCTATGGCTTTACATGAGGATATCTTCATTAGCCCAATTTTATAGATGAGGAAAAGGCACTAACAGATTTAGAAACTTGCTCAGGTCATATAAATAGCAGGAGGAATGGCTTAGAATTGAATCTAGGGCAGTCCATGCATCTCACACTATATGAGAGTAATTCTCTTCAGCGTTTATATGTTGCAGATGCTGTACATCAATTTCACAACGTCATTAAACTGTTAAATTATTTGTTTTAGAAGACAAATTTTTTAGTCAAAGTCTTTAGTTTTAGAAACATATTTACTTTGATCATTCTTATCGTCAGGAATATAGCCTTTTTTTGTTACTACTTGGAGTAAGACAATCTAACCTAATATAAGAAAATCCAGAGAGTGCTGCCTACCACCTAAGGGCTGATTCCATCTATCTCCAGGCTAAGCCCCTTCAGTTGTTCTGTCTCCAGCTTTTATCATTAATGTCTTTCACTTTTTAGACTGGCTTCTTCCCTTCACTTAGTATTCTCAAGACTTTCCTCTTCAAAGAAACATTCCAAAAAACTCTTCCCTTGAAGCTGACACCCATTCTTATTCACTACTGAAGAGTAGTTTATATCCATTATTCCTATTTCCTTGCAAGTAGATTAGATTTAGCACCAGTTGAGATCTAAAATCTGATGGGGATTTCTCAACCTTGGAACTACTGACATTTTGAGCCTGATAATTATTTGGGATATGTGTGGGAGATGAGGGCTGTTGTGTACTGTAGGATGTTTTACAACATCCCTGATCTCTACTTAGTAGGTGCCATTAGCATACCCTTCCCCAGTAGTGACAATCAAAAACGTTTCTAGACATTGCCAAATGTCCATTGGGTGGCAAAATCATCACTGCTCCAGAGCTACTGACCAGTTTAAATTATTTACTCTTTCTGAACCTCAGATAATTTACCTGTAAAAATGATATCTAGACAACAATTTAAAACTTCTTGTATGTGTAGTATTCTATTTCTGGCCTCTGTATCACTCAACTATAGTGAAATTCTTCTCTCAAAGGTTACCACTTCCCAAATCACTACATTCAATGGCCTTCTCAGTTTCAATCCTCTTTAATTTTTCAGAAGCATCTTGGGTACCAATTTCTTAAATTTCTTTTATGACAGCAGGTTGCTAAGATGTCCTCTTGAAATTCTCTCTGCCTCTGCTTTTCAGGACATACTCTCTGGGTTTTCCTCTCTCATGCAATTTCGCAATTTCACAATTTCAAGAATCAGATGGATTCAAACTCTACCAACTTAATCAATACTGTTTGAGATCCAAACTGCCAGTTCATGTAGATTCTGGTCTGTTCTTAGATCACACAATTTCATGATGTTTACACTTGCCTATTATGCTTTACTATAGTAATAATAACTTTCAAAAAGCTAATATTTCATTGAGAACTCATAATTTTATAAGACAGTCTAAGGCTTTATGATGGCATTATAATCTTAATCAGATGTTAATAAGCTTTTATTGATTCCCCAACTCTGCTTCTTATATTCTAATCTTTTTAAGATATAGTTCCTGCTGAAAATAAAATGTATATCCTAAGTAAAAGAAATAGAAACAATTGAAACCTACAATTAAATATGAGAGATATATGTAGAAAACTTAAATCTAGATCTACCATTTCTTGGTAGACTTGGCAACATGACTTTGGGCAAATAACTATTTTTTAAGCCTTGGACAGTGAAATAGGAATAACAGTATTCACCTCTTGGGGTTGTGGAGATTAAATGAAATAACACTTTTAGAACACTTAGCATACAGAAAGGACTCAATAAATGTTGGCTAATCTTATTATTAGAGCTATTATTTAGTAGGTTATATTATCTTTAAATATTCCTATGTGTATCATCCTGAATCACTTTATTCCTATTGAAGTTCTAATCAACCCACATCAGTCTTTTTTTTTTTAAACTAATCACATATTTCTCTGTATCAATTTTAACACTTCAAGTTGTATGCGTTGACCACTTATATTAGCAGTTTTTGTGCCTGGTATTCAGATATAGCTGGTCATCTACTGTATTATTTGCAAAGTTATGATTTTAAGAGGCAATTTTAGTATCTTCACTCTGTTAAGGCACACAGATTATATTGCTTGCAACTGGCAGTTAGTCTCTTGTTAACAAACTGACAACATAAGTCACTTCCTAGCTTTTAAATATCAATTTTGGCTCCAGACAAAATTTTAGCATATGACATTATACCTGGTAGAGACTGTATTTGGTGTTAAGTTTATGGTCTTTGTTGTTGGTTTTTGCATAATTTACAACGATGTTGCCAGATGAAAAGTTATAACACAAATGACAAACAATATTGGCTCACTACAGCTTTTAAAAATTATTTAGTACTAAAAAATATAATGTATTAAGGTGGGATGGAGTGCTAGAAGCATTATGAATGGATTCCAGTAGTGCAGTACTAGGCAAGAAAGAACCCATGCTTGTAGAGGATCCACATTAAGTATTTGCACTTTCCAATGGAAAGTAGATCCACTTTCCATTTTGAGCAGCCTACTCCAGGACATTCTACCCCTCTGCATGCTAATTCTCCTCTGATGAACAGGCTCTGAAAAGCTTTGATAGATTCTCTCTATCCCCTAAAGGAACAAATAAAAAGAACAAAAGAAATTGCAAAGTAACACTGCTGTGGGACAGGAATGGTAGATATGCTAATGGGTTCACGAAGAATTCCAGCACACAATAACATACAAGTAAATGAAAGTGATATTTATACAAACATTCAGTCAAATGAGTGTCAGCGCAAAGTAGTCATTTTAGTTGGCTCTACATTTATGTTTTAAAAATGCTGCTTGGTACTCAATTTTTTCGAAATTCTGTTTCTGAACTCCTTTAGAATCGTTTCAATGTTTTTATTTTGTGAGAGTGAATTTTTTTTATAAATAAATGTCATTGGAGGTAAGCCTCGTGAATTGGGTAGTGATAGAGTTGGGTAATACTTCTGGGAATTCAAACACATACACCAAAAAAAAAAAAAAAAAAACAACCAAAAAAACCAACAAACCAAAGACACAGTTATAAAACTAACAAAAATGACATTCTTGTTTTGATCCAGAGCTGCCTCTGTGTAATTTCACAAGCGTTTCCAAAATATTCTAGGCAAGAGGCAATTTCTAAAAGATTCTAGCAAGAGTTATTGCAGAGCCTCCCCAAGTCATCACTTCGAAGGACAATACTCTGATGGAAACATTTTAATTAACCCTTTTGTCATGAGTTTAATCTCATCCTGACTCCTTCAGCTTAAAACAAAATCCAGCTAAGATAGAATAGAAGGAAATCATTTTTCTCCCTTCTTAACAACTGGCCCCAGGTTTGGCAGGGAGATTAGGGGCACTAACCAAGAGGATGAGGATCTCCTCAGGGCACTCCACTGGGGGAGGAGAACCACTTTGGCCAGACAGAGGCAAAGTCTGGCCTAGGTAAGTGCGGCCCTCTCGGGGCTAAGAGGAGGGGCACCTGAGCAGCATCGCCCCGCCACTGGCACCCCGGGCTCCGGCAGATGGAGAGACTGGTGAGGGCCGCTGCTCCTGGGGGCGGAGCAACAGCAGGGCCAGCTCCCTGGGGCTTGCCCGGGGGCGGAGTCTGGGCAGAGTGGAGCTGCCAGAATCTTCGTAGACAGACTGGAGGGGTGAGCTGTCCCAGGGTGGAGAACTGAGTGTCTGAACCCTAACGCGGGGAGGAGCTGGAGGTCGCGGGCACGTTTCTTTCGGGTGTGGCGGCTGAGGGGCGGCTTTAGGGCCTGGAGCAAGGCGTTGCCAGAAAAGTCCACCCTCCCGCCCGTTAACCTGAGAGTCTCTTTCGCGTTGCCTCGGTTCCGGTCGCTGCTGTGGGTGCTACCGCCGCAGCCTGTGGGCCGCTCAGCCATGCTCAGTGTCAGAGCGTCGGGTTTGCAAAACTTAGACTCGACTTCATCCAAGAGCTCGTCCAGGTCCTCCGCCATCTTGACTCGTCAAGCCTTTTCCCCTTCATAGGTCGCCCGGGTGCCAAATGGTTGCCCGGGGCAACGCGAGGACCCGCCGCGCGCGCTCGCCCTGGCCGCTCGCGCGCATGCGCATGCCGTGATGTCGTAGCGCGAGATGCCCGCGAGGTCTTGCTCAAGAGGACGTGGTGGGTCCGTGAGGCAAGGGAAGCGCGGGGGTCCTCGCGGGGCCGGAGGTGAGCGCTAATCCCTTACTGTGTGACCTCGCGACGCTTGGCTTTCCTTCGTCCAGCTTGTCTGGCGTGTTTTGTTCCCCCTCCCCGTCCTGGGTCCAAGTTGTAACCACAAGCACACTCTTTCACTCCCTCATTTACTCCTCTGTTTAGGTCCCTGCCGTGTTCCAACCGTTCGTAAATTTAGTAAATCTGTGGAAGATTTGGGGACAATGTGCCAAAACAAAAGTAAATAGTTGTAACAACAAAAGCAATCTTCCCGTAGTCGGCAGGATTCGAACCTGCGCGGGGAGACCCCAATGGATTTCTAGTCCATCGCCTTAACCACTCGGCCACGACTACTGCTGATGTTAATTTTGGCGTTGAGAATCTATGTAGACTCTGCACAAGCGTTGTTGCAGGAACAGGTATATTTGGGTCTGGAGAAAAACGTTGCTATGTTGTTCTGTCTGAGGTGGGCATATTTGGATGTTACGGCTCTAATAATTGGAGCTGTTTGAAGGGCTCAGAACATATCCCGTCCAAGTCTTTCTATTCTCAGAGAAAACTGAGTTCTACAAGTATGAGAGAGAAGGAGAGAGAGAATGAATGAGTATCGACGACTGCACACCTACCCGCTTGCGCAGTGCTGGAGCCATTTCCAGGAGGGAACTAGGAACCGTGGGGCGGCCCTGGCTTCCTTGCAGGGCCACCACTTTCACCCCTCCGCCTTTCTCTTTGACAAATAGTTCCCAGGACTTTGTTTTCACCCACCAGGCTTTAGAATGCTATTACGCACCGATTAATATTCTCTATGCAGGGCCAGACAGTCTCACAGTGCCATAAAAGCACTACTTTGAAAAGTGTAAAGCGTGCTACAAGTGTGATGTATTATCGTTAACCTGTGCTAAAGTGAGATAGCAAAGAGTTTCCATTGGAAACTCTGGAGATACAATTTGATCCAGATGATTTATTAGCTTCATTTATTTGGTTTGTTCTTTGTTCAAGATCTCTCTAATGTCCTTGAAGAGCAACTGGTTTGCTGGAGCCGATGGTGTCTGCTCACTAGAGCCTACTTTTAAATTTCCATGGATTTTGGAAGTCAGTTGTTAAATGGAACCATTATTAAAAGTTAAATTATGTAACACAACTTGGGTGTCTCTAAAAAAGAAAAAAAAAAGTTAAATTATGTAAACTTGCAATTAAATTATATGGAAAGCAAAGAAAATACTAAAAATTCACCACATTTTAGTTATTTCACTACATTTAACTATTGTTTATGCTGTTGAGATTATTTACATCTATTGTATCTGAAATACTTTGTCTTCTTTCCATTCAGTGATGTCACTTGGGAAGCTTGAAATCAGCCATAGTGGGTGTATTTATGTTAGGGAAATTGCAAATGTGACAAAGCAGGGTTTTTTTCTCCCTAGGAGCTTGTTGTGAAACATTTGTTAGCACACCGCTAATGCTACCATCAGACCAACTTAGAATATTTTCAGCAAGGCAACACTCCCCTTTTCTGTAGGGCCACTCTGGTTATTCTCCCCGCAGTTTTATTTCAGCTTTTAGAATCTTGGTATATTGTATGATTTCCTACGCTTTAATTAAAAAAAACCTTTTTTTTCTCCAAGTTACCTTGCTAGGTTATTGTACCTAGAACTGACCTCCAGCAGAAAAAGACAAGAAAAAGCCACTTGAAAAAGCTGTCCTTACAACATGGTACCAGGGGAAGTAATGCATAGTTGCCATGCAGTTTGACGGACTTAAATTAATGATTTGATTTTTCTCTAGAAAAGATGAAATCTGAGGTGATATGTACCAGTGTTCAATCTCATGTGGAAGATTTGCAATGAGAGACAGTGAAAAGATAAAAGGAAATGTTTCTGGTTTTTGTATGTTTTGTTTGTGTCAATATTAGAAAAATAATTGGAGCTTGTTCTCTCCTTCCCCCACTGCCACCCTTATTTGAACAAAATACCATGTGTAGATCATCTGGAGTTTGGTATTTTACGAATTTCATTTATGACTCATTCAGCTCTCCTGTGGGTCTCCTGACTTTAGTTACGTTTTCTTTCTGGTTTGTTTCTGAGAGAGAAAAGGTCATAGTATACAAGGGGAGATGCCACATATCATATAAGCGTGACACATGTGTGACTGTGTGATAATTGTAAAATGATAGTACACTATTAAAATCTCCAGATACCAGGGTACCTTTCAGTGGGCTCTAAATAATGGATTGTAGATATACAAGATGAAGTCAGTTAGGCTTTAGAAGAGTCTACATTCATGCAAATCATATTAGAAGGTAATTTTTTAAAAAGAATGTTATATATTCCTTTAGTATTTTCTTTTTGTTTTCCAAATAATTTTCTTTCTTTCTTATCTCTGTAAGTTTTTTTTCCCGGCATATTATGGGGGTACAGATTTTAAGGTTTCAATAAATGCCCTTTCTCCCCCTCCCCCCACAAGTCTGAGTTTCAGCATGACCATCCCCAGATGGTGCACCTCTCACTCATTATGTATGTATATACCCCCCCCCTCCACCTGCCCAATACCCTATTACTGTAGTACCTATGTGTCCACGTAGGTGCTGCTCATTTAACACAGTTTGCTGGTGAGTATATGTGGTGCTTGCTTTTCCATTCTTGGGATACTTCACTTAGTAGTATGGTTCCACTTTAACCAGGAAAATATAAGATGTGCTATATCACGTTGTTTCTTAGAGCTGAATAGTACTCCATGGTATACATATACCACATTTTATTAATCCATTCTTGGATTGATGGGACTTGGGGCTGTTTCCAAGCCTTGCAATTATGAATTGTGCTGCTATAAACATTCGAGTGCAAGTGTCTTTTTTGTAGAGTGTCATTGGATCTTTTGGGTAGATGCCCAGTAATGGGATTGCTGGATCAAATGGTAGATTCACTTGTATCGCTTTAAGGTAACTCATATTGCTTTCCACGAGGTTGAACTAGTTTGCAGTCCCCCAGCAGTGTAGGAGTGTTCCTCTCTCTCTGCATCCATGCCGCATTTATTGTTTGGAGATTTTTGATAAAGGCCATTCTCACTGAGTTAGTAGTGGTATCTCATTGTGGTTTTGATTTGCATTTCCTTGATGATTAGAGATATTTAGTATTTTTTCATATGTTTGTTGGCCATTCTTCTGTCTTCTTTAGAAAAGTTTCTGTTCAAGTCCTTTGCCCATTTTTTAATAGGGTTATTTGATTTTTTTTTGCTGATTTCATGAGTTCTAAGTATATTCTAGTTATCAGCTCCTTATCAGATGCGTAGGATGCAAAAATTTTCTCCCATTCTGTAGGTTGTCTGTTTGCTTTCATGACTGTTTCTTTGGCGTGCAGAAGCTTTTTAGTTTGATCATGCCTCATTTATTTATTTTTGTTGATGCTGTGATTGCCTTTGGGGACTTCTTCATAAACTCTTTGCCTAGGCCGATGTCTAGGAGAGTGTTTCCAACATTTTCCTCTAGAATTCTAATAGTTTCATACCTTAGGTTTGAATTCTAATAGTTTCATACCTTAGGTTTAAGTCTGTTATCCAGCATGAGTTGATTTTTGTGAGAGGTGAAAGGTGTGGATCCTGCTTTAGCCTTCTACAAGTGGCTATCCAGTTTTCCCAGCACCATTTATTGAAAAGGGATTTTTCCCAGCGTATGTTTTTGTCTGCTTTGTTAAAGATTAGATGGCTATATGAGGATGGTTTTATATCAGGATTCTCAGATCTGTTCCACTGGTCAATATTCCTATTTTTGTGCCAATACCAGATTGATTTAATTACTACAGCTTTGTAGTATAGTTTGATATCTGGCATATTAATACCTCCATTTTGTTTTTGTTGCCTAGAATTGCTTTTGATATTCGGGGTCTTCTTTGGTTCCATACGAAGCGTAAAATTATTTTTTCTATATCTGTGAAGAATGCTGATGGGATTTTAATAGGCATTGCATTGAATCTGTAGATCAGTTTGGGTAGTATAGACATTTTAATGATGTTGAGTCTGCTGATCCACGAGCATGGTATGGATTTCCATCTGTTTACATCCTCTGCTATTTCCTTCCTCAGTGTTTCATAGTTCTCTCTGTAGAGGTCTTTTACCTCCTTGGTTAAGTATATTCCTAGGTACTTTAATTTCTTTGTTGCTATTGTGAAGGGAAGTGAGTCTTTGATTTGGTTCTCAATTTGATTGTTGTTGGTGTATATGAATGCCTCTGATTTCTGTGTACTGATTTTGTATCTATCTCTGTAAGTTTTAATATGTGAGACAATGTTGTGAATCCTTGTCCCCTAAGTCTTTCCTAGTCATGGAAAGCATACTGAATGTCAGGTGTTTCATAAAGGTGAATAGGCAAGTGCCTTCAGATAAAACAATTGTTAAACATATTAAAGGGGCATGCTATGTATTATTACATTCACTTAGTATTCCAAGAAATATTTTAGGGAAAAGATGTCTATATTAAGAAATCAGAGCCCTGTTGGTTTTTCCAAGTAAGTGAAGAATGCTCTGAGCCTGCATTCTTGCTAGCGCCATTATAAATGAATTAGAGGTGGCAATACAGCTGGTTCTGTTGTCCCACACAGCTCCAGGCCAACGCCTTTAGTTACAAGGTGTTTTATAATCCTCTTGGCTATTCACATAATGAATTGCAAGGCTTCTTTGAATTCCCATGTACTTAGGTTTAATTTTCCCAGCCCTGCTTTCTTCCCCACACATCACAGGCCTTCTAAATACATACCCACTACTGGGCAGTGACATTGGTGGGAGGGGAGACATCCTCCAGGTACAGTTGCAAGCCTCCAAGTAGCTGATGCTGTGAAAGAAATGGAATAGTACTGGGGGACCTTCAGGTCTTTTAAGTAGTCCCTGAGTAA